TGAGGTAAGGGGAAGAGAAATAATGAAAATAGTGTTGTCTTAGAGTAGATGAAGCTAGACAAAGTACTGCATTTATAGAGAAAGAAGTGACAAAATCCTAATGAGAAAAAAAAGTTTTTGAGAGAAATGGAAGAATATATAAACCTAACACTCATAACTTCAAATCACTTTAATAGATTACAAAATCCAATAAAATAAAAAAGTGACTCATTGTTAGGAAAACAAAACCTTACAATCTGTTCCTTACAAGAAACATACCTAAAAAGAAAAAAAAAACATATGTAGAATAAAAATGAGAGGCTGAAACAAAATTTGCTATTTATGTGGTGAGTCCAAAGAAGTAGGAGTTGCAATCAAGCTATTAAGCAAAACAAAAACAAAAATCAAAACATAAAAAGAGTAAAACATGGAAACTACATTATGCAAAAGGAATTGTAGACTACAAACCAACATCAATTTAATTAAGCTTATATGCTCTAAATGCCTTAACTTCCAAATTCATAAAGGAAAAATTAACTGAACTACAAGAAGACATAATAACATAACAGTGACAGGAGACTGCAATATCTCTCTCTCTGTTTTCAACAAATCTAACAGAAAGATAAATAAAAGCAAAAATATCGAATTGAATAAATTGCTGGAGAAACTAGAGTTTTAAAAAAACTTATGGCATCTTCTAAATGATACTGCTAAAGAATATACATAATTCTCAGCATCATATGTAATTTTCATAAAAATTGACCTTGTATTAGTGCACAGAGATACTGCAAACAAATGCAAAAAAGAATGAGTAAACATATTTTTATATATCATAATGTAGTTAAAATTGTCATCATTTCAGGAAGCACAAACAAAAGACACAGATCCAAATGGAAATCTAATGATGAAAACTTAAATAATGAGTAGATCAAAGAAGAAATCATAGAAGTAATTAATAATTATGAAAAAGAAAATGATAATGATGAAACAACATATCAACACTTCTGGAGTGCAGCTAAAGTAGTTCTCAGTTCCCTACAAACATGATACTAACAAAAAGAGAAAAGAAAGGATTAATGGACTGGACAGACATTTAAAAAAATAATAAGTCAACAAATAAACCAACATAAAATAATCATAAAGGAGGAGATATTAAAAATTACAGGAGAAATAAACTGGAAACCAAAAAAAAGTTACAGAAATGGTAAATAAAACTAAAAGCTAGTCTCTGAAAAGACTAATAATATTGATAAACCTTTAGCCAATTTGATTTTTAAAGAGGACAGAAAATCAAATCAACAAAACAGTAAATGGACAAGGTAAAACCACAACAAAACCAAAAAAAAAATAAAAAGAATTATCAGAACCCACTGTGCATAGTTACACACTACCAAAACAGGATGCACAAAAAGGAGGAATACCTTGAAAATAGAAAATATCCAAACTTACAGAAAGCGAAATAGATATTTAAAATAATTCAATCTCAGCAAAAAATAGAACTAGCCATAAAAGGACTACTAAATTAAAAAAAGTCCTAGATCTAATGGATTCACCAGACAATTCTATCAAACTTTTAATGAACAATTGGTACTAGCACTATACAAATGATTCTCAAAAAAATTGAAAAAGAAAGCATCATACCAGATTCCTTTTAATGAGAGAAATATAGTCCTAATACTTAAACTAGGGAAGGATAAAGTATATGAGAACTATAGAACAATATCACCAATGAATATCAATTCAAAAAAATTTAAAGTAGTTCCTGTCAAACAGATTACGGTGATCATCCAAGAAATCATTCATCATGATCAAGTTGTATTTATACTAGGGATAATTAATTTATGCTTAAACCAAAAACCAAAAACAACCCACAGATTATAGGCATAGAAGGCCTTTTTAATATCATAAAAAGTATCCATCTAAAACCAAAAGTAAGCATAATATGAAATGGGGACACACAGAAGTTTTTCCAATAGATTGAGGAGTGAAGCAAGGATGCCCATTTCTCCCACTATTATCAGATACAGATTATTCTGTAAATGCTAAAAGTAGCAATAAGACAACAGAAAGAAATTAAAGGCACAAAGATAGGTAAAGAGGAGATAAAACTATTCCTATTTGCTAATGATGCAATGATTTGCTTTTTAAAATCCTAGGGAATCAGTAAAGATATTGAGACAATCAATAGCTTCAGCAAAGTTGTGGGCTATGAACCAATCCTTAAAAATCAACAGCATTTCCTTATAATAAGAATAACAAAGACCAAGAGACAATAATATGAAGTGAAATCCTATTCCAAATAACTACAAAATGCATAAAATACTTGGGAATCAGTCTACCAAGTCACATAAAATACTTGCATAGATATAAAATTCTCCTTAAAGAAATAAAAGAATAACCTAAATAGCTGATGGAATATTCATTGTTTGTGACAATATAACAAGAATGACAGTTAATTTACAGTTTTAGTGTTATATCAGTCTAAATTATTAAAGGGATATTTTACAGAACAAGAAACATAACAAAATTCATGTAGAAAAATAAAGAATCTAAAGAATCAAGTGAAATAATAAAAAGAGGCAGTATTATTTTTTCCTTTTTTTTTTGGTGAGACAAGCAAGGTTAAGTGACTTGCCCAGGGTCACACAGCTAGTAAGTGTCAAGTGTCTGAGGCTGGATTTGAACTCAGGTCCTCCTGACTCCAGGGCTGGTGCTCTATTTACTGTGCCACCTAGCCTCCCCTAGAGGTAGTATTATTGCAGTGCAATAATACTAGAACAGAAGACCTTGGTTTCAGCTGCAGGGCAGAAAAGGCACTCCCCCCCTTTCCCCACTGTGAAGCAAGGAGACCTCTCACATTCTCTTTTAACTCCTCTTCAGTCTGTCTTCTGACCTCATCTTTCAACTGAAACTGCTCTATCCAAAGTTACCAATAATGTCTTCACTGCCAAATCTAATGGACTTCTCAATGCTCATCTTCATTGACCTCTCTGCCACCTATTGATCTCTTCTCCTGAACCCACTCTTGGTCTCAATGACACTTATCTCTTCCGGTTCTTCTCCTATCTCATTACTGATTCTCTTTTGCCGATCTTTGTCCCAGTCATGAACACTAAGAATAGGGCTCCCCTAAGGGTCTCTCCTGGGCCCTCTTCTCCCTCTATACTGTTTTGCTTGGTAATCCCATCAGGTTCCCATGGACTCATTTAACATCCCTCTACGGCCCTAACTTTTCTCCTGATCTCCAGTTGCTTATTGGACATCTGAAACTGCATGTCCCTAGGCATCTCAAATTCAATATGTCCAAAACAGAACTCATTATCTTTTCCCTCAAACCCTCCTCTCTTCCAAACCTCTATTACTGTACAGAATGTCAGCATTCTTCCAGAGGGGCAGACTCACGTCCTTGACATCTCTCTCCACACTCACTCCACATATTCAATATGTCACAGAGTCTCATCACTTTTACCCTTGAAGGATCTCTTGTACAGAGTCCCTTTTCTCCATTTTCACAGACTCACAGGAAGCTTTTTAGGATATTTATAGGCAACTGAGAAGAAGCCAGTTCCTGGGGATAAATTGGAGATGGGACGAAGGGAATAAATGAAAGGGAAATGGGAGGAGTTTAGATCCAGAGCACAAGCAGGATTGACTTTGGCAAAGAAGGGCCAATCAACCAAAAAGCATCCATTAAGCACCTACTATTTGCAAGACACTGGGAATACAAAACTACTCCTTGCCTTCAAATAATTTGTTTTCTCAAAGATTAGAGAATAGGAGAATAGGAGTATGGATGAAGGTGTAAGCAGGGGTGGGAACCTACATCCTGGAGGTCACATGAGGCTGAAGGTTCCCCACCCCTGAAGAGGGTTTTGAAGTCTGGAGTAGGAGAAACCAGGCAGCTCACCTTTATTTTCTCAGTAAAGTAGGAGGAAAGGTCCTCTTCCAAGAAGAACATGGGAAGAGGCAGAAAAGGTGTGTTACCTAGAAAATGCTGTATGATCCAACTATTCTTGAAAATCTTCCTTATGTGATTAAGTACCCTTTTCTGTCCTGCCTTAAAAGATACAATGTTCTGAATTTAGCTGATTTTTTTTAATGTTAAAGATATATATTTTCTTTTCTCAGACACATCATTCTGAAGTTGAATTCTCACTTCAGAATTCTATAGCCATAAATGCTAAAGGATAGAAGGGCTTCCTATGTAACAAATAAGTTACCAGCTTATTTGTCCTTTAATGATAGAGTTCAGGAAAAAAATACTAGTTGAGCAATCAGTGTTAACAGGTTTCACTTCGTATAAACTGATAACCATTTCAGTACTTAGAACACAAGGGGAAACCAGTGGGTAGGGAATCTTCCATTCGCACATCCTCATGCTACTTGTTACCTTTTCTTGCCCATTACTAGTCTGAGAGGAATAGTTAGGGTTTCTGTGAGACAGGGATGATTTACATACATTATCTTGTTTCATCTTCACAACAACCCACTGAGAAGATAATCAATCAGTATTTATTAAGTCGTTGCTATGTGCCAGGCACTATTCTAAGTACTAGGGTGCAAGGAAAGGCAAAACAGTCTCTCCCCTCAAAGAGCTTAACATTGTAAGAGCAGAGACAAGTAAATCTTTTCCGTATTCTGATAGCTTCTTCCCTTTTATACGAAGCGCTAAAGAGATCCATTCTCACAAGACCTTTGATTTATTAAAGGAGGTGTATTGGTTCTGTTCAAGCTTAATTCTTATTGTTTGATTCAATCCCCCTCCCCCGCCCCCAAGTGTTTGCAGTTGCCAAAGCGTCAGCCAAAGTTCCGAGGAAGAGGAAAGCCAGTACAGAAATGGGCTCATCGGGAGAGGAGGACTAAGATTCATGGCTCTCTACATTATCTTCGATGTCAAGCAGGAGACTAAATAAAACCTAAACAGCTCAAGCCATTTGACGCCAAGTTTCCCACTGCAAACAGGAGCCTCCTGAGGCTCCGGGGCGAAATCGCCCACCCCTTGTCCCAAGTTTGTCTGTTACCTCCACAAAGCTGAGCTGTAGCCGAGCAATAACACTCCGGAAGCGAGGACTTTCTCCCAAACCATGGCGAAAAAGAACCCGCAGTCGCGGCAACTGCGTTTACACCAGCACCTGAAGTGAAGCTGAGTCCAACGGACTAGCCGACTTAGAACCTTTCTCCAGCCTCTTTGCCTTGCGCTGCGTCTGCGAGGGCAGGGCGCGATGCCAAAGAAGGTAATTAATAATGGATCCCCTTTTCACTGGCAAAAGGTGAGCACGTAGTGGTGTCAGGAAACCTGATGCTTGCATGCCTGTGCGAGCTATAACTGTTATCAACGAGGGTCGCATTGTGGGAAAGAGACAAAATTACTTTCAATTCCTGAAGGAAAGGACTGATGGAATTTGTACTGAATGAAGTTGACTAGTTGGCTTTGTAGTAAGTTTTCTGGGAAAGCGCTCTGAGCACCTGAACCGAGCGTTACTAACGTATTATCGACTATGGTACTGAGGCAGAATGGAGGAGTGAATAAAGGACCTTCTGCCTCTAAGTCAGGCTGACCCCAGTAAAAGTTCCACCTTTTGTACTAACGGGCTGTGACTCTGGGCAAGTCACAGGCCTCAAATGATTTATTACCCTGCACTAGTGGTGGGGAGAAGCTGCCCTCCTTAATGAAATTACAGGGCCAGATAGCGGAGAAAAAAAAGCAGCATTTACACTTTAGTGATACTACTTTCTGATAAAAAGCATTATTAACCACCGCGACTGTGTGAAAACTTTCCATTTGAAAAATGCCGAAGCTGGGAAGAAATTTGGTGTCCTACAGAGTGCTGCACTTTTTTTGGGGGGGGGGATTCTGTGTTCAAAGTTTTGACAAATTATTTCATCACTTTGGGCTTCAGTTTTTTTTCTCCTGTAAAAATATGGGATTGAATTACATCAGTGATTCCTGACCTGTGTGAGTCTGGAGAATCACAGTCGTTTTGCCTCCCAGGGGAATAACCGATAAGGAAGCAAACACACCTTTTACCTTGCCTTCTTTGCTCTGAAAAATGGCTCAAGCATATATTCTGTGCAGAATTTAACTACCTGCCAAATTAATTTGTGAACCTATGATTTCCTATCCCCCTTTCCTAGTTGTAGGTGCCAGTCCAAAGGGTAGCAGTAGGTGCTAATCAGAAAGTAGGGCATTCGAAGGACATGCCAACACAAGCATCGGAAAGGGCAGCTGCATGCGCTTTGATCCCCTTTTAGAAATCTGCAACTCCCCGAATTGAAAACTCTTCTCTGAAATAACATTAGGGCATCCCCTTTAGAAATGTGTTGTCTTCTCTTACCATGTCGTATTTAAAAATAGCACTATTCTATTTTTGTTGTTTTTTGGTGAGTCAATCACAAGAGTCACACAGCTAGTGTCAAGTGTCTGAGGTAGGATTTTAACTCAGGTCCTCCTGACTCCAAGGCTGGTGCGCTATGCACTGCGCCACCTAGCTGCCCCTATTCTGACTATCTGACAAAAACTTCTGGGAAAACTACAAAAGAATATGGCAGAAACCAGGCATAGACCAAAATCTCACACCATATGCCAAAATAAAGTCAAAATAGGTTCATGATTTGGATATAAAGGCTGATAGTATAAGCAAACTGGGAGAGCAAGGAATAGTTTACCTGTCAGATTTATGGAGAACAGAAGAATTCAAGACCAAACAGGAGATGGAGAATGTTACAAAATGCAAAATGGATAATTTTGATTACATTAAACTGAAAAGTTTTTGCACAAACAAAGCCAATGCAACCAAGATTAGGAGGGAAGTGGAAAACTGATAATGGATTCATTTCTAAAATATATACAGAATTAAGTCAAATTCATAACAATACAAAGCATTCTCCAACTGATAAATGGTCAAAGGACAGGCAGTTCTCAGATGAAGAAATTAAAACCATCTATAGTCATATGAAAAAATGCTCTAAATCATTATTGATTAAAGAAATGCAAATCAAAACAACTCTGAGGTACCACATCACACCTATCAGAGTGGCCAACCTGACAGAACTGGAAAATGATAAATGTTGTAGAAGATGTGGGAAAATTGGAACACTAATGTGTTGCTGGTGGAGTTGTGAACTGATCCAACCATTCTGGAGAGAAATTTGGAACTATGCGCAAAGGGCTATAAAAATGTGTATAGCCTTTGACCCAGCAATAGCACTTCTAGGGCTATATCCTGAAGAGATCATTAAAAAGGGAAAAGGACCCACACACAAAAATATTTATAGTGGCTCTTTTTGTGGTGGCAAAGAACTGGAAATTGAGGGGATACCCATCCGTTGGGGAATGGCTGAACAAGTTGTGGTATATGAATGTAATGAAATACTATTGTGCTATGAGAAATGATGAACAGGCAGACTTTAGAAAAACCTGGAAAGACTTGTATGGACTGATGCTGAGTGAAACGAGGAGAACATTGTACACAGCAACAGCCACATTGTGAGATGACTAATGTTGATAGACAGCCCTTCTCAGCAATGCAAGGATCTAAGACATCTCCAAAGATCTGATGGAAAATGCTATCCACATCCAAAGAAAGAACTATGAGTTTGAATGCAGATAGAAGCATACTATTTACTATATTAGTCTTCTGTTTTGGCGATTCCTCCTGTTGTTTCTAATTCTTCCTTACAACATCACTAATGTGAAAGTATGTTTAATAGGAATGTATATATATAGCCTATATCAGATTGTGAGCCATCTTGGGGAGGGAGGGGGGAAGGGAGGGGGAGAAAAATTAAAAATTCAAAAGCTTATGGAAGTGATTGTTGATAAATCAAAATAAATTAATAAAAAAATTTTAAAAATAGCTCTGGACTTGAATTTGTTGCCTGGTCACATTCAATGTGGTTTCACCTTGGGTGCCACAATAAACTCTCTTAAATTTTCTCTTTCTGGGTTTGCTTTATTATTGAGGGCAAGGTCCAAACAAAGATTTTTCTTCTAACAATTTTTGTTGAAGCTCAGACAGGAAAATCCCTTTGCCCTGAGTCTTTTACTGGGGAATTTTACTCTGACTGGAAGCCAGCACAGGTTTTCATTTTCCCTGTGGGAGGCCAGAGAGGGTTTCCCCAACAGTCAGCCAGAGTGACATATTGGATAATTAACTCCCCAAGCTCAGGAAAGTAAAGGAAAAGTAGGTCCCCAAAACCAGATTTTTATTTCCCCCCCTCTTATTTGTGCACCAAGAAGAGAGGCAAGTAAGGCAATGGACTTGCAAGCAGAGATGTGTCTCACTGCAAGGAAGTACTGGTGTTCAAAAGGGAAGTCAGGGCAAGTCTGTGGACTCTCAGGTACGTAAGCTATTACTGCTTTGGCCAAAGGAAATTCTTCCAGCTAGGTCCACAAGTAAGCAGTGAGGCTTGGTAGGGACTGGGAAAATTATGTGAAGAAAATCTGGCCAGATTAAAAGTCGAGTCTTTGGATGCTGAAAATACTGTCTACAGATCAAAAGCCTAAACAAAAATAGGATTTTTTAGTGCTATTGAGAGGGCCTTTGAAATGAAAGAGAAAAGAGTGAAGAGAAGGGATTAAGGAATGGAAAGGGGCCTATCAACTATACAGGAACCTACCCCTCACCTGTGAGTGGCCAGAGCCAAGCAAAGCAGGCTAGAGACAGGTGTCTGGACACAAACAGAAGTTTAATTTCAGAGAGAGGAAAATGACCTCTGCAAATGGAATCCCTCCCTTCCCCCTCCTATGAAGGAGGGCTTAACATACTGGGCTAAAGGCAGGTCTTATATACACCCTGGGCTGGAACATGACACAATCATTTTAGGTCTTGAGTTACTGTTACCATGGGCCCCATGGGAATAGTTTTGTTGTGTCAAGCATTTTTTAATTTTTTTTTAGGCAATTGGGGTTAAGTGACTTGCCCAGGATCTCACAGCTTGTGTCAAGTATTTGGTCTGAGGCCACATTTGAACTCAGGTCCTCCTGACCTCAGGGCTGGTACTTTATCCACTGCACCACCTAGCTACCCCTGTGTCAAGTCTTAAGGGTCATGCTCACCATTTGGGGCACAGAACCAGATTTCTGTGGTGGGAACAAGAGGGAAGTACCTGCCAGTGATTGCGAACATCTGATGGATGGACCTGGGAAACAGGTGAAGCTAAATCCCTCAGTGAACACCTAGTGTTGGTCTAAGCAATACACTTTGCCAGAAGGTGATATCATCCTGAGTGAAAGGATTATTGTTATGCCATGCTCAGGGCACAGCCTGTTTATTAGGCCTTAGCTCTAGAACACAGGGCATCTCCAAAATATTCTGACAGGTCCCATCTGGAAACAGCCACAATATGGGACTGCCAAACCCACCCCCACATCTCTTGGGCCTTTACCATGTTGTGGATAATGGGGATAAATATTCACAATGACTGATGATGGAATGGGAACTTAAAAGGGTGTGTGTGTGTGTGACTGACGAAACCTTAAAACTGATATATTTACTCTCACTGACCTTTGATCACACCCTCTGTGGCAAATAAAGAGGAAACTGTGAGATTCTTACTGCCTCTACCACCCTGGACAGCTGGAGAAGGCAGCGATAAAGACAGATAAGAAAAGGAAGGGATTTTTTTTCCCATTTCCTCTTTCTCCTGGTTTGTGGAAACCAGTTGGAAATGATTCAGCAGAATTTAATTGTTTAATAAATTAGTAGGCTATAGGTAGGCTATGGTATTTAGGTAAATTAGTAGGCTATAATCTAATTCCCCTGGAGAGTTATAAAAAAGGAAGGAAGGAAGGAAGAAAGTTTAAGCAGTTTTAGAGGAAATAGGTAGAAAGCTAAGGAAAGCTGAAGTCAAATTTGTACTGACTTCACAAATAGAGGTTTAAGGGGGAAAGGGTTTGGAGTTTGGAAAAAGGTTAGAGAGGCTCTTGGTTCTGTGGGGATAAGAAGGTTAAAAGAAAACTTTTAAAGAAACACCTGTTAGCAATTTCAGACAGTGTCCTAGCAAGTTACAACATGACAGCCAACAGCTGGGGCCTCCTAAAATTTGAGGAGTAGGCTGCCTGTGGTCGTTGGAGGAAAATTGAGGTTCTAAATGTTATCTTTAGTGATTATACACAAATTTGATTTGATTGATGTTTTTTGTCCTGAAACTAAATTATGTGGTCATTTGCAGTGAGATGTATCCTACTAGGATAATTATGGTAAATTAGAACTTTAATGCAAAATACATTTGATATTTGGCAGTAAGGAGACATACTTTAACTCCCCAGATCAGAAAACCTGAGTTCAAATCTGGCCTCAGAAATTTACTAGTTGTGTGATATGCAGCAAGTCATTTACCTGGTTGCCCCAGTTTCTTCATGTGTAAAATGGGATAATGATGGCACCTACTTCCCAGGGGTGTTGTGAGTATCAAATGATATAATAATTGCAAAGTGCTTAACACAGTGTCTGGCCTTGGACATTTACTTCCTGTGGGACCCTGTGCAAGTCACTTAACCCTGTTTGCTTCAGTTGACTCATCTGTGAAATGGCCTCCTGAAATAAGGAAATGGCAAGCCACTCCAGTATCTTTGCCAAGAAAACCCCCAAATGGGGTCAAAAAGAGTCAGACGCAACTAAAAACGTCTGAACAACAATAACAAACTTAACATAGTGTCTGGCACGTGGTAATCAAATATAAATGTTATTATTATTTCTCAATTGGATATAATTGTTCCATACTGGCTTACTCCATACTGGGGTTTACATGTAATTAGTATAGAATGCTAAAAGTAATAAGATGAATGATTTTCTATATAGGATAATTTGGAAATGCATTCGACTGTGTAAAAATATTTTGGAGATACCTGTTTCCCAGAACCATGCCCAGCAAGCAAGCTTGGTGTAACAATAATCCCTTGCACTCAGCATGATATTGCCCTCTGGCAAAGAGTATTGCTTGGACCAGCACCAGGTGTTCACTGAGGGATTTAGCTTCCCCTATGTCCCAGGACCATCTTTCAGGTGTTCACAATCTCTGTTCCTTTTTGCTGACAGGTACTGAACTCCTATTCCCATCACAGAACTCTGGTTCTGTGCCCTGCAGGGTGGCCCCAAGACTTAAGACAGTGACTCCCATGGGACTAAAGAACACCTCTATTACCCCAAGAAATGCTAACTATGAGAACCATCTTAAGATTTAAGAATTATTGTGTTATGGGCCAATCTCTTTCATGTAGATAAGTGTCCTTAGCCGTAGCAGCCTTCTTACGAAGGGGGACTTCTGCCTGCCAGTGTCATTTTCCTCACTCTGAAATTACTTAAACTTCTGTTTGTGTCCTGATTCTCCTGTCTCTAGCCTTCTCTGTTTGTTTGACTCTGACCACCCGCTGGTTAGAGGCTGGCTCTGGTCTGA